TGTGTGTCCCCTGAGGGTGTACCTCAGCAGAGAGATGCTGGCAAGGACCTGCCCAAGCCCTGAGAAACCACAGCTGACAGTGAGCGCCGTTCGAGAGCTCTGTGCTGGAAGTGCAGTGAGGACAGGGGGATTGGCATCCTTAATTCAGTCGCCAGTGAGCACATGCCTTGCGGACTTTGAGCAATACATGCGGAGGATTGCTAGGAGCTGGAGTTCGTGCAGGTGCATGCAGGGTGGAAAGCTAGCCAGATCCCACCATCGGGGCTCATCCTGCGTTCACTGGCTGGGGATGTTTCATGTGTTCGCATTCTTTCCACCCCGGCTCTGGGTAGCCCACGCCTGGAAGACATCCTGACCCACCTGGCCGAGTTCATCACCCTTCTCTCTGTGATGTAATCACCACTGTGAAGGGCAGTGGTCTTGTCTATTTCTCTGAGCCGTGCACCAAAACACATCCCTTTCTGTCCAGTTTAAAGGCTGCGGCATGCGTATCAAGTCACCCAGATAAGACATGAGGGGCCAGGATGGTCGTGGGGGGTGTTTGGTATTGTGACCTTGGCCCCTGGACCCAGCTCTGGCCCACCGAAGACAGGTGATCTTAATGAAGATCCAAGATATTTCTTGCTTTTTTGAGAATTCATGCTCAGAGCTCATGGTTTTTCTTTTCTTCTTTCTTTCTGCTTCTGTTTACACTAGGACACTGCTCTTAGTGATGTTCCTATTTCGCGTGTCTTGCCGCTTTGCTTAGTAACTATCATTTTTTGTCTTAACCCCTTAAATAAAGGGACTGGGAGGAAGTAAGGGCTCTACGGGGGTGCCAAAACAGTAATGCTAGCTGCGGAAATAAACTTCACAATTTCAGTGGCTTAATAACCCCATAACAGTTTATTCCTTGTTTACTTAAAGCCAAAATGAGTGTTCCTATTGGGTGGGTGGCCTTTCCTCATGGTCATGGTCATTCAAGGAGCCAGGCTCCTTTTATTGTGTTCCATTTCTCTTGGAATCCTATGTTTTCAGCTGGCTGGTGGATGGGAAAGACAATGGAGCAGTGATTCTCACACCTTAATGTGCATACAAATCACCTGGTGATCTTGAAAAAAAAAATGCAGATTTGGATGTAGTAGGCCTGGAGTGGGGCCTGAGATACTGCATTTCTTACCAACTCCCAGGTGATGCTGATGCTCCCGGTTCAAAGACAATCCTTTGAGAGACAAAACAATGGAAGATGGAGCAACGGGGGGTAGGAGTGAGGAGAGAGAGGTAGCTTTTATGAACCAAGCCTGGAAGTGGCTAGAACTTTCAGGCAAGAACCCAGTTGCATGACCCCACCACCCTCTAAGAGGAGGCTGGGGAATGTAATCCAGCGATGTGCCTGGAACAAAGAGGACAGGTCTCTTCATTCACCAGCAATTTCTCCAAATGGAGGGCCAAGCACTTTCACCAGCTCTGTCTTCAGGGAGATGGAGCATCCTCTTCAACAGTCATTGGGGCAGCAAGATAGAGAGTAGCCAAACTTACATGAGTGGATATAGGTTATGTGGCTCTGCCTCCTCCATGAGCTTGCCTCACAACTGGAGCTGGGATGAAAAGAAGTAGGAGCCTGAGCTGGTGGGAGGGAAACCCTCCTGACTCTGCTGCGGATTCTATGCCGCCTGGTGTGGATTGCCAGGTGGACAGGAACTGAAATGTCCATGGGGGCACCATGAGCTTCTGAGTGGAGAGAGCCAGGCGCTGCTCGCTTCTCAGGCTGCCTTCTCTACCCGTAGTTGTACCACACCTCTGTGGCAGGGCCAGTCACCCAAGATTCGTGGGGCTTGTGGGACATCACTCACCTGTTCCTGGGTAACCTTCTGGAACCCCGTGGGATGTAGACCAACAGATAGAGGCATGGATGCTAGCTCAGTCTTCTTTCTGTACTCCATTTCCCCCATGCAGTGTTTCCTTCCTCGCTGCCTCATGGGGGAGGTTGTGATAATTACAGATAATATATCTGACAAGGGACGTCTCTCCACTTACCCTGTGTTACTGCCAGGCCATAAGAAAGGAGACTTGACTCTCTTGGAAACACGGAGGGGTGGGGGGCGGGGAGCTGCTTTCAGTGGCTCTTATCCTAGGAGGTGGAGAGTTTTCTGATGGGTGGGATGGCGAAAGTCTGGGAGCCTAGGTTCCTGTTTCTCTTAGTCCCCTTGCTTCTTGTGGGCTCGTTTTGGGGATGGGCCTACCCAGTGGTCCTGTGTGGTCATCCCTGGAGGATAGCCCTGGCCCTAGGGACCTGCGTGGAGTCGGAGGGAAGGAGTCCATGACCATATAGCTGCTGTGTGTGCTGGTGCAGAGAAGAGAAGGCAGGAAGCCTAATTTGGCCTGAAGTCCAAGATACTTTCTCTAATCCAGTTTTGTGAATGATGAAGTAGAGGGTTTTGAATTTTCTCTCTCTCTCGTGTATCTATATATTTTTAAGATTTTATTTATTTATTATTTTGAGAGAGAGAGAGGGTGGGGGAGACTGGGAGAGAGACTCTGAAGCAGATTACACACTGAGCACGGAGCCTGACTCAGGACTTGATCCCACAACTGAGACATCATGACCTGAGCCGAGATCAGGAGCCGGACGCTTAACTGACTGAGCCACCCAGGCGCCCCACTCCTGTGTCTATCTTTAAATTCATTCAGAACCCAGGGAGGATGGGCTATGGATGTCTGGTACCCTCTAGAACCCCAACGAGCAACAGGTTGCCCAACACTTACTAGGTGGCAGCTTTAGTCTTCTGGGTATTAGGGTGAATAAATGAGGCTACTTTCTGAAGTGGCTCATCTCAACTGAGGATAAGCAGTCTTAAGGTTTCATTCCAAATGGAAGATTTTAGTGGTTAAAATAAGATTTCTAGGCAATAGTTTTTTTCTAGGTGGGAATATTCATGCCAGGATCCCCTGAGTTTATCTACTGTGTTTTATGATGCAATTTATTTCCTAGCATCATAGGGCTTTAAGTCACAGAGTTCAGCCCTCACGGTTGATTGTGGAATTTCCTTAGACATCTCTTCCATTGTCCAGGCTCTGTTTAGCCATCTGTTGTGGCAGGGAACTAACTCACTGTGTCTCCAGGCCATTGTCAGAAGGCTCCTTGAATGGAAATATGCCTCCCGTGGTTTCTTTCCCAGCTCTGCCTCTCAGGCACCTTTATCAATTAGCAATTGCCACAGTGATGCTGCCCAGCAAATGGAGAGGGAACTCAGTGGCAAACAGCAGGGAGCATTTATTCTCCTACTTGTGGGTCTGAGCATTGACTGTGGACTGGCAGATCGGAGCTGGGCTTGTTGACTGCATGGCTGTGCTCCGAGCTGCATGGTGGGGATGGCTTGGTTCTTTCATACTGGCTGAGCTCCGTTCTCCACCACGCACGTCTCTTCTTGATCCTAAGCTGAAAGGTGCAGCAGCTCCCTGGGGCACATTCTCCTCATGAAAGGTGGTGGGAGTGCAAGGGGGCAAGCCCAGCTAGGCATGCATGTTTCAAACCTCTGCTTGATTTGTTCTGTTGACGTCCTGTTGACCAAAGCAGTCCAAATTCAAGGGTTGGGGACACGCCCTCTGCCTCTTCTGGGAGGCCCAGGACATGGATCCACAGAGGGTTGAAGAACCAGAAATAACCATTTAATCTGTCAAAGCAACTCCAAAGAGGCTCCCTTCCTTTCTGTGGGTAGGCATCCTGCTTAATGCTTGAAAAACAGTGGTCACGTTCACTGTAGAGCAATAGTGTAAACACTGAGTTGGAGAGAATCTGGCTTTCCTCCATCCCTTCCTGGCTGAGTGGCCCAGGGCAAGTCATTCAGTCTTTAAATACAATGAAAATCCTCTGCCTCCCAGGGTCATTCTGAGATTAAGTTGGAGAGTATATTAAAAAGACACCTAGCATCACACTGGTACTCCTTAAGTGCTTAGTAAGTATTACCCTCCATTCCAGGCCGAACACCTTCTAGTTGGTTCTCACATTTCCTCAGTCTTCCTTGCTTATTTGGATCCATTCTACTTCTTTTTTTTTTTTTTTTAAGATTTTATTTATTCATTTGAGACACAGGGATAGAGAGCATGAGCAGTGGGAGAGGCAGAGGGAGAGGGAGAAGAGGACTCCCGGCTGAGCCAGGACCCCGATGTGGGGCTCGATCCCAGGACCCCGGGATCATGACCTGAGCCGAAGGCAGACGCTTAACCATCTGAGCCACCCAGGCGCCCCTCCATTCTACTTCTTATATGTCCTCCTGTGATACATAGAGTCCTTCCCTGTGCTGACTGCAATATTAACGGATAGTTTGCATTTACTCCTTGGCCTGAATGCAAGGGTCTTTGTGGAATGTGTTGGAATGACAGGTCCTGTATTGTAGAGGTTCTGCTTCCATTGAGATAGCCCGAGCTTACATGAGGTTGTATGTCACATTTCACCCTTGGAGGTTGCAGTTAGCTGTATTCCTGGGGTTTTGTTCTATGTTTCTTTAGGACCTGCTGGATAGAATGCTTCTTCTGTAAATGTTTATAGACTGCCTACTTTGTAGAAATATTAGTATATGTTACTGCCTCTTAATTTTTATTTTTTTAAAGATTTTACTTATTTTAGAGAGAGAGGGGAAAAAAAAAAACATGAGTGGGGGAGGGGCAGAGGTAGAGAGAGAATCCCAAGCAGACTCCGCGCTGAGCATGGAGCCTGATGCGGCGCTCGATTCCAGGACCTCATATAGATGATGACCTGAGCTGAGATCAAGAGTTGAACGCTTAACCGACTAAGCCGCCCAGGCGCCCCTATCTCTTACTTTTTAAATTGCCTTATGGAACAGGTTTTAAAATGCCCAGTTACAGAAGAGAGAGAGGGGATGTGGCTTCCTCAGGATTGATCAGGCCCTCCTAGAGTGACCTGATTTCCGGCCCCCACGTTGACGGGTATGACTGATTATCAGAAGGATTTTCTTTCTCTTTCTTTGTCTCTACTTCCCGTCCCCTTTGTGGGTCTCCAGGATCCTTCATGATGGTGAACAGCTCTGGGAGGGCCTCTGGCCAGAAGGCGCACCTTCTCCTGCCGACCCTGAAGGAGAATGACACCCACTGTATCGATTTCCATTACTACTTCTCCAGCCGCGACAGGTCCAGCCCGGGAGCCTTGAATGTCTATGTGAAGGTGAACGGCGGTCCCCAGGGGAACCCTGTCTGGAACGTGTCTGGGGTCGTCACCGAGGGCTGGGTGAAAGCAGAGCTTGCTATCAGCACCTTCTGGCCACATTTCTACCAGGTATGGTGTTCTTTGGTTTGATTTTTTTTTTTAAAGTGATCCTAAATCTATATATCTCTTGCCCTACCTAGAGTTTGTTAGTCAAGAAAGACCTTCATTTACTCACTCACTGTGCACCTCGTGTTTACTGAGCCTCTCCTGGCCAGGCCTGCAGGCACAGAGGTGGTCCAGCATGGCCCCTGCTTCCCTGGACATCATGCTCAGGGAGGCTCAGGAAGAGGAGACCCGTGATACACAAGCAGTTACTGTACAGTGGGACACAGCTGGCTCTCCAGAATGCTGGGGGAACAGAGGCATTGAAGCCTTTTATAAATTAATTGCTTACAATCACCTGATGAGCAATGTACTACTATTATTCCTATTTTACGGATGAAAAATGTGAGGTTCTGAGAGCTGGGATAACTAGTCAAAAGATCACCACCCCCCCAACCCCCCATCCCCCGGGGAAGAGGGTATTTGGGGAAAAGCAACTAGGAAGGCTTCCAGGCAGAGGTGGCAGCTAGGCTAAGTCTTAAAGGATGAATAAGTAATTATTGAAAAAGCAAGGAAAAGGCATTTGATTTGTCAGGTATGGTGCGTGCCGGGGGCTGGAGGAGCAAGCGAGAGAGTTTTTGCAGAGTTTGGAAATTCTCACTTGTTTAAGGGTGGGTCACAAAGGAGATACGCAGTGGCTCAGCTTGCGGAGGTGAGTAGGTCATGGCTGGCTTTGAATGCCAGGCCAAGGAGATGAAGTGTGATCCCTCGTCTAGAGCAGTGCTCCTCAAGCTGGGGCTGTGAAAGACCAGTTTTTTCCTTTCAACTCATTGTGGACCAGTCCTTTCATGACTGTAGTAAAAATGTCTCAGCAATGCCACATTGTTGCAAGAGCTTCTAAACACGTCTCCCACTTCCCCCGCTGCCTCCCGCTGCCTTCTCTCCCTGTGGGCTGAGAACACACAGGGCACAGGCTGCTGGCCGTCTGAAGAGCAGAGTGCACCACCTGTTGGGGAGCACAGCTGTGGCCTGCTTGGCCTGGGACTCTTGAAAGCTTTTCTTTTTTTAAAACCACTTTATGTATTTAAGTACATGTCATAGAATTTACCCATTTAAGTGTGCAATCCAGTGATTTTTAGTAAATCTACAAAGTTATTCAATCATCACCATCAACCAGTTTTAGAACATTTTCATCACCCCAATAAATCATTTCTGCCTGTTGTTGAAAGGTTTTAAGTAAGAAGGTGACATAGTCAGATGTGCATTTTAGAGACCTTTCTCTAGAGTCTGCTCTGAGCTTTGTGGTGAGAAAATGGACCTGAGGCTGACAAGGTTAGTGGCTGGGAACTTCTCAGACATCCTTCAGGTCAACGTCTATGGACTGTGTTCAACAGGTGGACTGTGCAGGTAGCCATAGGTATTATGTAAATGAGTGTAAGCATGCAGCTGTGCTCCAATAAAACTTGATGTATAAAAACAAGTGGTAGGCCAGATTTCACCTCTGGGCCATAGTTTGCTGAACTTTGATGTAAGTAGTAAAGCTGAGGTCTAGAGATGGATACTGAAGTCCAAGATCATATAGCAAATCATTGGAAAAGCTGGGACAAGAACCTGGATGCCTAATCCCAAGACTCCTCCCCCACCCCTCCACCCTGTATAACTGAGTATAAAGTAAGTGTCTATAAGTCCATGGATACCCCCAGTGAAGCCATAGGGCTCCAATTAGAAAACCCCTATCTAGGGCCTGATGCAAATGGATTATAGGATAGGGCCACAGGTGCAAGTGTAATGAGGAGGAAAAGTGATCCAGGGCAGGGACTGTTGGCCTTGCTCTTTGTTGGGATATGGAGGGGAAAGAGGACATTTCTTGGGCACCCCCTTTGTCCCAGCTCTGTGGTAAGCATACTGCCTCTCATTTACCTGTAACTCTTTGTGTTGGAGAGCAACATGTCTTGTGTTCTAGAGTAGGGCATATTATTAACTGAGGTTCCCATAATCCTTCCTAGGTCCTCTGGCACCAAGCTCAGTTTCCTGCTTTTGGGAGAAAAAGCACATTATAAGAATCTTCTACTTACTAGCTGTGTGATGTTGGATGTACCCTGTCATCTATTCTGAATCAGTTCTCTCATTTATAAAATGGAGAAGGAAATAGGTACAATGAAGGGTTCTTCTGTGGATTGAATGAGATAGCATATATATTAAACAATGTGTCAGGCTCATGGCGGGCCTCAGTGATTGTTGGAAGGGAGGAGGAACGGGGGGAGGAACAGGAGAAGAGGAAGGAGGAAGGATGCCTTTCGTGAAGAAATCCCCACCGTGATTGAGCTGTCCTCTGTAAGTTCTGTATCATCCCTGTGATGAGCATTCTCATCTGGGAGAGTTTTCTGATTTCTAACTTGTTGACCACTACAGCATCATTATGTTACATTATATCCTCTGAGCTTCGTGGTGACAAAGCCACTAATGTACTGAAAGCAGCAGTTTAGAACAGAAACCTCTCTTTCTCTGTCCCTCTCTGTCTGTCTGTCTGTCTCTCTCTCACACACACACACACACACGTAGCCACTAATGCATAGTCCTGTGGTCACACACCCAGAGGGGCACACACAGGTGCACCTGCACGCTCCCAGAGTCACTACCCCCACACATACCAGGGGAGAGAAGGGGGTGCTGTCCAGAGAGTCAAAGACACTTGCGGTGTGGATTTGAAAATTCATCAGACCCTGAGCTCTGGTCCTGTATGTGTGATTCTGTGGACTAAATACAGTTTTAGTTTTCAGCGGTGCTGGGACTCAGATCCTGATGGCTTATGTATTCATTTATTAAAGTCATATTTCATAGTTCCAAAATTGACTTTTAGCTCCATAATACACAGGGAAATTTCATCTTTCCTATTAGGGGGCTCTGTGACACCAGGGTCTCAGCAGGGCCAGGGATGAACGTCCCCCGGCCGTGTACCCCCACACCTGCCTCCTCCCTGAAGAGCAGGGTCTTATTAAAACCACCTGAGCTGTGCTTTAGATCTAGGCCCCCTTGCAGGTGATATTAAGTCTGTTTTATGTTTTTAATGATTCTGCACTGTTCTGTCCTAAGATTTAGAAAAAAATAAGAGAAGTTTTTTACTGGTTTGAAGCCACCTGCTTACTCTGTTTTCCAGCACCTGCCTGGGTGAAGTTGCCTTTTATTTAGTGCTTGTAATTGCTATGTAGACCCATGAAATCTAGGGCATGCCAGGCTTGGATTCAACTGGAATTGAGATCCAGTCTCTTTCTCAAGGATCGGGCACTAGCATCTGGCACTCTGGAGGCTTAGTAACTTCACGTACAATTTAGGGGGGTGCATCTCACAGGGCGGGCACTTTCCCACCCTTCACACTCTCCCCCATCTCCTCTCTTTCACCTCCCCTCTTTGCTGAGCAGCAAACTCTCCTCCTCATTTTATTCAGGCCTTCTGGGGCTAGGATGGGAGAGAGGCTGTCTTGATTTCTCCCTAAGCAATTCCTCTCCATGAAAATACGTGGTCATCTTCCTAAAGGGTGCTGGTGAGCCAACATTTTTCTCTCTTTGGAGAAAATGTTTGCAGCCCCTTAAAACTTTTGCTGTACAGATTCTCTGCTCAAGGACTACAAAAGGTAAGGATAGAGTGCCCACTCCTTTAAAGCATGTCCTGACCTATCCATCCCTTCCCGCAACATGCACACAACCTGCTTTTTGGAGAGGTTGAGGGTGACTCATCTCTGAGCCTCTCCTGGGAAATAGTTCCTGACTTTGTCCAGCAGCTCATGCATGGGGAGAGGTTTGTGCTTTTCCATGTAAGCCTTAGGAGGTCTCTAAGGTTCCAGGGTCTGGGGCGTGTGTAGTTGACCGTAGGTCCATGTAGTGGCCTTGGGATTGAAGAATGTCCTGCAGAGCAGGTGAGTTTCCCAGCCTAGGCCTTCTGCCCCATCCCTGCCTGTCAGAGTCCCTGCCCCCACACACTGACATGGAGCATCCCTGGGTGTTGGCATGGTCTACTTCTGCCCACCCTCCGCCCTCCGTCCTCTCTGCCCTCCCTGCCACCTGTAAACAGCACTAAAGTAGCCTCTACAATTCTTTACCCACCTCAGTGCCAGCCTCGTTGAGAGAGTTCAGTGCTGAGGGGACCTGCCTCAGCAGGTGAGTTCAGATAGGCCTTAGAGGGTCCAGCATGGACCTTTTTCCTTTCCTTTCCCTTCTGGCTCTATTTCTGATACATCCAGTCTTGTTATCTGTGTTGACTCCTCACTCCCCAGGCATTGAGGGGGTCTATCTCATGGCAGCTTGCATGATTTTTATAAAAAAAAAAATTGTAATTCTGGAGTGGCGTACCCGAGCTAAGACCCTCTTGGCTCCTGTATGCTTTGTGAGCATTTTGCTCTGAGTGATCTGGCAGTGATGGGGAGGACTTACCCCAGTTCTGTCTTGGGAAGTGCTGTATTCTCCGCTGTATCCCCAGCCTGCCCTGTGGTGTAAATATCCTGTGGACCCTAGTTCTAGGATCTGAGGAGTCTGGAGACTTCATCAGGGATTTCGTGGGCTGCCATGGTCTTTTTCTCTCTGCTTCTGTACTTAGTCCCCATCACCTTTCCCCAACTCCCTTGGTTCCTGCAACTCCATATGGCTCTTTATTTCCATGTAACTCCATGTGGACCCAAAGTCCAGCTTGTGCCAGTTTCTTACAGTGGGGACTCCTATCAAAGAGTCTGTTGAGTGCGGGAACTTCAGTGGAAGCTTCAGGTGGGACTGGAGGGAATAGTTATGTTGGGTGGTGCATTAGCTTCTTCCTCCCCCCAGACCTAGCACCGTTCCCTGGGATTCCTGCTCTTACTGCCCATCCCTCTCCCCAGACTAAGAACAACAATAATAGTAATATTTATCAATATATTACCATGTATATTGCAAACCCTTTAAAATTATTAACTCATTTAATGGAAAGCCAGAGCATTCTTTCCCTTGTTTCTTTTTTTTTTTTTTAAAGATTTTATTTATTTATTCATGAGAGACAGAGAG